GGTCTTTTTTCCCTCCACGAGGCACCTGCTTCCAAAAAAAAAACCCAAAGCCTGCGGATCCGAACTTTGTAACTGGAGGTGGAAAACAAGGTGAGCCTGGGGAGCCGGAGCCTCCCCGCCTCCAGCCCCTGCCTTCCCAGGGAGCTTCTCCCCAGCCCTCTCTTTTCCAAACATTTTGGGGGAGGGAAAAAAAAAAATATATATATATATAAAATCCCCCGTCGCAGGGTGTTTATTCCTATCAGCAGAACCGTCGGGAAAAGAGGCAACACTGATCCCTCGATGGCTCGGAGTGGTTCGTGGTTTGGGGTCGGCTCTCTAGTAGTTTTCCGCTTTCTTTTTTGGTTTTGATCTTATTATTTTCCAACGGGGCGCCTGAAGGAATAACAGGGCTTCTGAAACGCGGCCGGAGAGAAGCGCCTGAAAAGTCTGCCGCCCAGGGAAGGGGAGTTATTTTTTTGCCACGGGGACCCGAAAGGGAAATAAATAAGCGAATGAATAAATAACAACCCTGTTATCTAGTGTAGACGCTGAAGGATATTCGCGGTGCATTCATCAGTCTAATTTGATAGCAGTTCATAGATGGCACATTGCAGCGCGGCTGTTATTCCGAAAAGCATTCTGGATCGTAAAATATAACTTACCGCGTTAATAGGTTTATTTATTGGCACTGCCTATTGCTTATTTTGGATGCTTTACAAACATCTCTGTTATCTGGTAGGCACCTTCACATCACAGGGGAGAAGATTGATCTTGTTTTTCTATATGTTTAAGCAGCATGCAGGCTAAAGTTGCCCAGAGCGGAGGCTCTGAGGGTTTTAAACTATAGGATGGACATTAATTTTTACGGCAACCCCATGCCCGAATATTACAAAGTTCAGAAGGTCAGTCTGAGCAGCGCTTCTTGGCAGCCCCGCGGGGCAGCTGGGATCCCCCTTTCGCATGGCGATGCCACTACGATCCTCAACTGCGCTTTTTTTTGTTTGTTGTTCTTTGCTTTGCTTTTTTTTTTTCCCCCCCTCCAAATCATCACCATCACCATCATCATCATCATTCGCTTACCTACGGGCTCTTTCTCGGGAGAGGCTTTGCTGCTCTCTGAGGGAGCTGGAGAGAGCTCCTCTGCGGTGGAAGATGAAGCCTGAGTCTCGTCCTCCCTCTGGGAGACACACGCCAAGGGGCTGGGGGACCGCTCCTCGTCCTCCTTCCTCCCCGCGTCCGGGACGGCAGGCAAAGATGGAGGCGCCTGGAAGGGGCCG